ATACGAGAGTTTGGCAGAGTGGCGGGGTACAAAATTAACGAACGAAAATCAACAGCCATAGTGTACGCAAATAACACCAAGATGGAAGAAGATCTAACCAACAGGATACCATTCAAAATAGCAGAGAGAAGTATGAAGTATTTGGGAATAAATCTAACCAAAAGTGTAGGAGACCTATTCGAAGAAAACTACAAACTATTTAAAAAGGAAATTGAACAAAACCTCAAAAGATGGAATAACATCCCGTGCTCCTGGATAGGCAAAATCAATATCATTAAAATGTCTATACTACCACAAGCAATATACATTTTCAACGCAATTCCAATCAAATTGCCCAAAACATTCTTCACGGAACTGGATACAATGATTCAAAAGTTCATCTGGAAACACAAAAAACCACGAATAGCTAGAACCATCCTGAAAAATAAGAATTTAGCAGGGGGAATCACAATCCCGGACCTCTGGACATACTATAGAGCAGTGGTTATCAAAACAGCCTGGTACTGGCACAAAGACAGAAAGGAAGATCAATGGAATAGAATAGAAGCACCAAAAGGGAATCCACACAGATACAGCCAATTAATCTTTGACAAAAAGACCAATGACAGCTTAAGCAAGTGGGAAGGACTCTTTAGTAAATGTTGTTGGGACAACTGGCTGATAGCCTGTAGAAACAAAAAGATAGACCCACATCTATCACCATACACTAAGATCCAATCTACATGGATAAAAGACCTAAACCTACATCCAGAAACCTTCAAACTCTTGCAAGAAAATGTAGGAAATACCCTGCAAGACCTAGGAGTAGGTACCGACTTTCTAAGAAGGACACCAAAAGCAATAGCAGTTGAGAACAGAATAAACAAATGGGACCTCATCAAACTAAGAAGCTTCTGTACAGCAAGGGAAACAATCAACAAAGTAAAAAAGCAACCCACAGAGTGGGAGAAGATCTTTGCACACGATATAGGCGATAGGGGGCTAATTTCCAGGATATACAAAGAACTTCAAAACAACCAAAAAACCAAAACAAACAAGCCACTCAAGAAATGGGCACGGGAAATGGGCAAACATTTCACAAAGGAACAAGTCCAAATGGCAAACAAACATATGAAAAAATGTTCCAGCTCCCTAGCAATAAGGGAAATCCAAATTAAAACATCGATGAGGTACCACCTAACACCAGTAAGATTGGCCCACATAAACAAGAACACCAACGACGCTTGCTGGCGAGGATGCGGGGAAAAGGGAACCCTACTCCACTGCTGGTGGAGCTGCAAATTGGTACAGCCTTTATGGAAATCAGTCTGGAGAACACTCAAACAACTCAAAATCTGCATACCATATGACCCAGCAATAGCACTCCTAGGAATATATCCAAAACACCTGTTTTACGACAAACCAACATGCATCCCTATGTTCATTGCAGCACAATCAGTAATTGCGAAAACATGGAAGCAACCGAAATGCCCATCAGCAGAAGATTGGATAAGAAAGCTTTGGTTCATCTACTCCATGGAATACTACTCAGCTATTAAAAAAAACAAAATGCAGTTCTTTGTGGCTAAATGGGCACAACTGGAAACTATAATGCTAAGGGAAATGAGCGAATCCCAAAAGATTAGATACCACATGTTTGCCTTGATTTAACCTGTAATTTTTTGTTTGGTTGTTTGTTATTTTTTGAACCTGTCATTGATACTGTCTCAACCCAGATGTTTCGAAGAATGGAACTTGCATTATTTTTAACATATTGTTTACCCAATACTATGTCAATTAATTCCATAATGTTGTATAATGATACTGAGGCCTTGTTGGGGCTTTTAACTGACTGGATCTTTACTCTGTTAGACCTATCTTCAGACCATAGAAGGTCTCCCCAAGAGGCCACTGAACTTATCTGGACAATAAGACGCTGAACTTTATGCTAGGCATGTGTTTGCAAGCAATGAATCTCAACTGAACTTGAACTATGGTTATGCAACAAGATGGAGGAATCCACCATGGGGGGAGGGGTATGGGAGGGGTGGGGGGGATCCCCAGCGCCTATAAAACTGTACTACATAATATAATGTAAGCAACAATAAAAAAAAAAAAAGAAAGAAATTGAGCACCAGGGGCCCGGCGGCGTAGCCCAGTGGCTAAAGTCCTCACCTTAAAAACACGCCGGGTACCCATCTGGGCGCCTGTTCTAATCCCAGCAGCTCCACTTCCCATCCAGCTCCCTGCTTGTGGCGTGGGAAAGCAGTCGAGGACGGCCCAAAGTCTTGGGACCCTGCACCCATGTGGGAGACCCGGAAGAAGTTGCTGGCTCCTGGCTTCGGATCGGCATAACATCGGACGTTGTGCTCACTTGGGGAGTGAATCATCGGACGGAAGATCTTCCTCTCTGTCTCTCCTCCTCTCTGTATATCTGACTTTCCAATAAATAAATAAATCTTTAAAAAAAAAAAAAGCTTCTACCTCTAGCACCAGCACCCAAATGGGTGCCAGTTTAAGTCTCAGCTACTCCAGTTACAATCCAATTCCCTGCTTCTGGCCTGGAAAAGCAGCAGAAGTCAGCGCAAAATCCTTAGGCCCCTGCACCGATGTGGAAAACCCACAAGAAGCTCCTGGCTTCATATCAGCTCAGCTCTGGCTGTTGTCGCCATTCAGAGAACAAACCAGCTCCTTACTTGGAAGATCTTTCTGTCTCTCCTTCTCTCTTTGTAACTGTGCCTTTTGTTGTTGTTGTTATTTGTTTTATCACAGTTTCATAGGCTCTGGGATTCCCCAGACCCTTCCCCATGGTGAATTCCTCCACATTGTTGCAGTAGTACAGTTCATATCCAGTCATGATTCCTTCATTGTGAGCATGTACCATACAGAGAGTCCAGCCTCTTATTGTCCAGATAAATTCAACAGTTTCCTTGGCAGACCATCCCTGATCTGAAAGTAGAGCTGAAAGTATCATCCCCTCCAATGAAAGGCCACAACATAACATCAACAACAATTTGCAACATTATGGAGTTTTTTGACATTGTATTGAGTGTCCAATATGTTAGAAAATGCAAGTTCTTAACCACATCCTGTGACTACTTCATTGACATTGCAATTTTAGTTTATACACAACCAGCTAATATACACTGTAAAATGGTTATAGGGTACTATTCAGCTGTCTCGTGTCTATTTTCATTTTATATTTAGCAGTTTATAGTGTTGACGCATGTTTTTTACTGATCTTGGTGAATTTTAGGATAGTCCAAACAGGTTTATAACGAGGCATATGTTAACACTTGAGGTGCAGAACAGTTTTAGGGAAATCTTCAATACCTTAGTGAGGAGTAACTAATCTTTGTGTCCCACCTAGTAAGGTATATGTGAGTCCACGCTGACAGTTTCTTGTCTGTTCTAGGCTTTCCTTATTGGTCTATGTCTATTTAATTTTTTTGGGGGGGTACTCCAGAACGACCCTGATGGTCATTATAAGAGGGTGGGGATCCAAACTTGGAACTAAGTAAGGACCAGAGAAAGCTCCTCTCCCAAGTCCTGAAGGAAGTTTACTGTTTTTCTGTTTCTGAGGACCATTCAGGGTTCCTGGCTGTTGTTCCAATTACATTGGATCCTGCGAGGAAGGATGTGGGCTTCTTCCATCCGGTGTGGGAGATCTGAAAGGGAGTGGATGACCTCAGAGTTCTTGGCCTATGAGGGCACTCCAATTCCCCGTGGTCTCCTTGGCAGCTGGGATATAACCCTTGGTGCCCTTACTAATAGTCTTGTAACTGTGCCTTTTAAATAAAAACAAATAAATCTTTTCTTAAGAAGCATAATGAGTGGTATTTTCTATATAGACTTATTTTAAATATATATATATTTTTTTAAGATTTATTTATTTTTGTTGCAAAGTCAGACATATAGAGAGAGGAAAAGAGACAGAGAAGAAGATCTTCCGTCCAATGATTCACTCCCCAAGTGACCGCAACAGCCGGAGCTGCGCCAATTTGAAGCCAGGAACTTCTTCTAGGTCTCCCACGTGGATGCAGGGTCCCAAGGCTTTGAGCCATCCTTTACTGCTTTGCCAGGCCACAAGCAGGGAGCTGGATGGCAAGTGGGGCTGCCTAGATTAGAACCAGTGCCCATATGGGATCCCGGTGCGTTCAAGATGAGGACTTTAGCCACTAGGCCACTGAGCTGGACCCGGATTTATTTATTTTCATCAAAAGACAGTTATACAACATGAGAGACAGGGAAAAATCTTTCATCTGCTGGTTCACTTCCCAAATGGCCATAACAGCGGGGGCTCAGCTGATCTGAATTCAAGAGCCAGGAGTTTCTTTCAGATCTCTCATGGGTGTGTAGGGGCCCAAGGACTTGAACCATTTTCTATTGCTTTCCCAAGTCATAATGAAGGAGCTGGATCGGAAGCTGAGCACTCAAGACCCATGAACCGGCGCCTTTCTGGGATGCCAGAGTTTGAAACTGGAGAAACTAGTCTGTTAAGCCACTGTGTGGGCCCCATATATAGACTTTATTGAGATTGGTTTGTTCGATGTTTTCCTAAAGAAGCACAGAACTTTTTTTTATGTGGTGTTTAGGCTAGGAAATCACGGTATGCACCAGATTTCCCTTACAGTATCCATAAATTTATAGTAAATATTAAATTTGGAGAAAAAGTATAAAATCTGTGGGCTTGCGAGGAAATTATTTTTTGTGTATTCATCTTTAAATCTGGGAATTTGCACCACTGGAGCAGGTGTGGAGTTGGGCTTGGGCGGTCCAGGCCGGCAGAGGTGGAGGCGTCAGGCTGAGCGACGGGTCGGCCGGGAGAGGGCGCCCTCGGGTCTCAGGCGGACCCGCCAGGCTGCCAGCGGCGCGCAGACGCCTGGTGACAGCGCATGCGTGCGCGTCTCTTCATGGCGCCGGCTCCGGGTTTGCGGGTCGGCTGAGGGTGCGCGGCCTTCACGCTCCAGGCACCGCGCTCTGGGGTGACATCGCCAGCGACTCCAGCCGCTTGAATCAAGGAGGCTGAGATTTTATTTCCTTTTGTTTTGCTTCCCAGTCGCAGCCTTTGAGTCCTGCTCCAGTCTCCGTGGCCACTTCCGCTGTGGGCCGGCGCCGGTGACCTCGGCCGCCTGGGTGTCCGCGGGCCGGCCCGGTTGCCCGCCCGGCGTGGGGGCACCTGGCCGTTTGAGGCTGGCTGCTGTTGAAGCGAAGTAGTCAACCCGGGAAACAGGCTCATTTTCCTCAGTATGTCGCAGAAGGATCCGTGCCAGAAGCAGGCCTGTGAACTACAGAAATGCTTACAGGCCAACAACTACCTGGAGTCCAAGTGCCAGGCTGTCCTTCAAGAGCTGCGGAAGTGCTGTGCCCGGTACCCCAAGGGAAGATCTGTGGTCTGTTCAGGATTTGAAAAGGAGGAGGAAGAAAACGCAGCGCTGAAGTCCATGCCAGAGTGAAGCTGGGAGAAGTTATTCCCTGCTCTCTGTTGCCACCGCTCAAGTTTGATTTATCCTCCTTTCTTCAGGCCTGACAGCTGGAGGAACGTGAAAAAATCAGAGGAAAACATGTTGTCTGCGCAGAAGCAAATTATTAAAAGACGAATGTGTAAAGTTAAGAAACCTAAGCCGCAAGGAGAAGCCTACTTAGGTGAACATTTACTTTGCTATTAAATGTATTTTAAGAAGAAGGAAGGCTACATTTGTCTGTGATCTGTTCATTCAACCTGTATAATTCCTGCTTCATTCGATGTTGGGTTAGTAGATCTTACCCTGATGCCTCATGAGCCTAGCACCTTTTTTTTCTCCCTAACGTGTTTATTTTTATTGAAAAGGTAGATTTACAGAGAGAAAGAGAAATAAGGAAAAAGATCTTTCATCCATTGGTTCACTCTCCAAATGGCTGCAATAGCTAGAGCTGAGCTGATCCGAAGCCAGGAGCCAGAAGCTTCTTCCAAATCTCCCACATGGATGCAGGGACCTACAGCCCTGGGCCATCCTCTACTGTTTCCCCAGGCCATACCCAGGGAGCTGGCAGAAGTGGAGTAGCCAGGACACAAACTGTCACCCATATAGGATTCTCGTACTTGAAGGCAGAGGTTTAGCCAGCTGAGCCATTTGCACTGGCCTTCTCTTCCTTTCCCCCCTCCCCCACCCCCAAAGAATCAGCTTCTTTAAGTATGGTTTCAAAGTTGCTTAGGCCCTGCCTTCAGGAACCTGTGGCCCAAAGTGTTTGTCATAGTCCTTTTCCATGCCATTCTAAGAAAACTTTGTTGAAGATAAAGCACTCTGGCCTCCAGGGGGCACTGAGCTTTCAGGAAAGCATCATAGTAAAATGAAAAACTCTGTACACCAAAAGGCTTAAAAGGAGTGTGGTTAGCTTATACTTATTACTTAGCATTTGTTAAAATGGAAGTTCATTATTAGAGTTACGCAACTTTTAAGCTACCTCCTGTGAGGCTGGTTTCCCATATGGGAGCACTCTTAATATCTCAGCTTCTGAGCCTGATCCAACTCCCTGCTAATGTGCCTGGGAAAGCAATAAAGGATGGCTTAATGTCCTGCCACCCGCAGGGGAGACCTAGATGGATTCCAGGTTGTTCACTTCAGCCTGGTGGGACCTGAATTGGTGTGGCCACATTGGAGGAGTGCACCAATGGGTGAAATATGTCTTTATCATCTCTGACTTTCAAAGAAAATAGCTATTAAAAAAAAAATAACTGATGAAAAATTTCCAGTGCTTCTGTTACTTGCAAAGCAGGAAGTCCAGAGAATTTGGCTACTGAATTTATACCAAGCAGTGAAGGATATTAATCCTTCACACACTTACCAAAATCAGGAGAGGAGGCTAGACTTCATATATATTACATAAGGCCAGTGTTACCAGAAAAACAAGTCAAAGATGTTACACACAAACAGAGAGAGAGAAAAACCACTGCAGACCAGTATCGTTTGTAAATAAATACAAACATTCTCCACAAAATACTAGCAAACCGAATCTACAACAAGTGAGATTTATTCCACAAATAGAAACTTGGTTTAACATCCAAAAATTGATATAACAAAATATTCAGAGTAAAAGACAGAAAATAACCCATAATCACAAATATTTCAATATGTGAATGAGGAAAGGCATCTAACCATACCCAATATTCATTTGGGGTAGGAATGAGAGGACAAAATAAGAGTGAAAATGGTTTCCAGGACAGGTGTGATAGTGTAGTGGTTAAAGTCCTCGCCTTGAACGTGCTAGGATCCCTTATGGGCGACGGTTCAAATCCCAGTGACTCTGCATCCCAATCCAGCTCCCTGCTTGTGGCCTAGGAAAACAGTTAGGGACAGCCCAAACCATTGGGACCATGTACCCACGTGGGAGAGCTAAAAGAGACTCCAGGTTCCAGGCTTTGGATCAGCCAGCACCAGCCATTGTGGATACTTGGGGAGGGAATCATCGGATGGAAGATCTTCCTCTCTGTATAGCTGACTTTGCAATAAAAATAAATAATTATTGGGCCTGGCATCATGGCCTAGTGGCTAAAGTCCTGGCCTTGAATGCCCAGGATCCCATATGGGCACCAGTTCATATCCCAGCAGCTCCACTTCCGACCCAACTCCCCGCTTGTGGTCTGGAGAAGCAGCAGAGGATGGCCCAAGCCCTTGGGACCCTGCACCTGAATGGGAGACCTGGAAGAAGTTCCTGGCTCCTGGCTTCGGATTGGAAAAGCACCGGCTATTGCGGTCACTAGGGAGTAAATCATCAGATGGAGGATCTTCCTGTCTCTCCTCCTTTCTGTATATCTAACTTTGTAATGAAAATAAAATAAATCTTTATGAAGTAAATAAATAAATCTTTCAAAAAGTATTACTTATTTTTGTTCTTAATGATTTTTAAGTAGTTGATTAGGGTGATTAGGGACAAGGGCTATAGGAAGGTACATGAGATCACAATTTCCACAATCTCTTTTTCTTCTTCCTGTATCTGGGTGAAGCAGGAGACAAGGAGAAAAGCCACAGCCACATACAGCCTCCCAAATGCCTCTGCACCATGGGATGGAAAACAGCCACCCAACATCACCCGGGGTCCCCAGTGTGGGGCATGTGATGAGGGTCCTGCCCATGAGGTCTCAATAGCTCAGCAGTTCTGAATTGCTGACAATCTCACCACTCCAAGCACAATGAAATCTCTCCAGAATCCACTGATTGATACAGTCCACCTTAGAATCCCTGTTTGCCCAGTTACTGACTGCCAACTCTTGGTTGGGGTAGTTGATCGATTTGTTCTGTCCTCCATCCTCTGTTGTGGTACCAGGTGTCCTCTGTAGACTCCAATGGACTGCCGTATCCTCCATGTGTACCTGGATATGCTGTCCACTGCTCCATCTGAGCCTCTGAGGAGGCCGGCTTTGACCCATTCACCTACGATCAGACCATGGGACCTGCACTTCTCTCCATGGTTGGTGTTCTGAGATCAGCAGTTCAATTGGAGGGATCCCCAAAGAAATTTTGCCTGATGTAATCCCAGACCTGGTTCTTGTGTGTGCTTGCCAATAATACAGGGTCCGGCACAGTCTGTTGCCCCAATCAGCTTTTGTACATGCTAGTGGTTTCATTTGTGCGTCAGTTCTGTCTCCAGCCCTGTCTCCAGCCCTCTCTTTCACGCAAACCAAAAGGTGCTGCAGTCCAACCTGATTCTGCCCACCACACACTCGGCCTTCATGGACACTAGTGGGAGCTGCAGCCTAGTTAGAGCAACCCACGGTAACTCCCACCAGGCCCCCTGCCCTTGTTCCAGCTTCCAGTATGTACAGCAGACTGGTCCAGTCTGTCCCACGTTTCATTCAGTTCTCATACATGTCAATGGGAATTGAAACCTAGTTCAACCCAACCAGCCCCACTATCAAGCCCACACACCTGCCAGTGAGTGCCACTCCCTAACTGGCCATGCCTTGTCCCAGTCTTGGTTTTTATGCTCACCAGTCAGAGTAACAATGCAAGAGGGAGGTGCCCACTATTTCCCTACTGGGCCCACACCCACTTACGCTTTCTAATGGAAGTGGTGATCAGGCAGGGGAGCCGTCCAATTTCCCCTACCAACTTTGCCTCCTTCCCCACTGGGTCTCACATATGTTGGCTGGGTCTTGTGACCCAATCTGGCATGGCCCACCTCTCCTCATCATTTGCCACTGGGTTTTGCAGCCTGGCCTTCCCCAGCCCACCTCCAATTCTAATTCATGCTCATGGGGGCTACGGATTAGCCCTGCCCAGATGGCATCCAGTCCTAGCTGTAATGTGTACTGGTATGTGCAATGACCCTACCTCGCCCGAGCCACACTCCATTCTGGTACTCGGATTTGCCTGCAACTGATATGAACTGGCCCATCTTGGTTTGCCCCTGACCTGTGCCAAATGTATGCCAGTGGATACTGTTGCCTGGCCTGGGCTGGCTGCTCCCTATTGTGGTTCTTGCAGTCTCCTGCAGGGACTGTGTCCCCAACAGAAGAGTTGCTCAAGCTCCTCCATCAGAGCCTCTCCCAATGTCAGATCTTGCACACACCAGTGAGTCCATGGGCCAGCCCTACTTAGTCCACCTCCTGTCCTAGCAGGATTAGTGGCCTTTCCTGACTGGCCTTCACCCATTCCGGTTTTTACTGTTGGGTGTTTCATGCCAGCCAAGGCACACCCAGACACAGCTCACACATAACTTAGTAGGGACAGAAACCTAGCCTAACGTGGCCTATACCTCCCTGGTTCTCACAAGTGTCAGCGGGTGCTGGAGTCTAGACCAGGCCACACTTGTGCTGAGGGACACTGTATCCATGCCCAGACTAGACAGCAGCCCCCACTGCAGCCCCCACACTCACCAGTGGGAACCACAATCCAGCCAGGGTTTCTCCTTTGCTCCCCAGCCAGACCTGTTACCATCACAGATCTTGTGCATGCCAGTAGTTGCTCTGACTCAGCTTTGCATAGCCCCTTACCAGTCCTGGCCTTTGCCTTTGAATGCTGCAGCCTGGCCTGACTGGGCCTGCCCCCAGTCCCAAATCTCACTCGCGGGTGCTGGAACCTAGCTCTGTTCAGTCTGATCCCATCCCTGGCTCATGAATACTGGTAGGTGTGACAGCTTTGCTTGGCATGACCTATGCTCCAATCTGGTGTCTGTACTTTCCAGTGAGCAAAGGTTTGCATGGCCCTGCCAGGTCCTCTCCTTTCCTAAACTAACCCACATATTAGCCAACAGTTGGAGCTACCTTGTCCAGACTGCCTCACTCCCAGGCCTGGACCACGTGCTCACCAGCAGGAGCTATGACCCACCAGGGGAGTTTTCCAGGTCCCCCCACTCAGGCTACTCTCAGACTCAGATTTCACCCATGCCAGCAGGTGCTAGGCCCTTGCCCGCCATAGCTTGCTCCTCAATCTTGGCCTAGTATGAGCTGGTGAATATTGAGGCCTGACCTACCCCACACCCTCTTTTAGGATGCACATGTGAGCACTACAGCCTGAACATGGCCAGACTATTCCTGTAGCCATGAGTATTGTCAGGTTCCATAGCCACACCTAGCTCAGCCCATCACCACCCCCAGCTCTTGAGCTAACCAGCAAGACTTGCATTTACACAAGATTTGGCCTACACATCCTCCACAGAATCTACCCCTGGACATGGTTCTCTTGTGTGCTCATTAGTGTCCTGGTCTAGTCTAATGTATCTGTCCCCTGTTCCAACATTCAGTCAGGTACTGGGATCTAGTCCTACTAGACAGGCCCCCAGCCCTAGCTTTCACATGGACTATCGTGTGTTAGTCAGCAATGTTCCATGCTAACAAGCCCAACTCTGGAT